TTCTGCAAGCGTCTTCTCTCTTTACTCTCCAGCAACTTGCCTTAGTATCAATATATACTATTCTCTATTTACCTTGCCTTTTCAGATTCAGGATTCTAGAATTATTACTCTAGTACAGAATTGTATAAAAGTATTTTCAGTTAAGAAACAGACAAGTAAAGCATTAATGCTAGAAAAGAACACTAAGTGATACATGTATACCTTTTTAAAGAATCCTACCATATTAGGAAGGGAAATCCCTTACCATCATCTGCCTTTGCAAGAAATATGCAGCCATCCTCTTCGAAGTACACATTCTCTCCAAACCTCATCTGTTCAATACAAACAAAAATATTTCAAGTCCAGCATACTATTTCCTTTGAATCCCTATATACAGTAATTTTCCTGTGCAGAAATGTAAAAAACTGTAACAAATGGCAGAACATATATTCTGTACTGAAGAAGGAACTGCACACATTTTTTTTCAGTTAGGGTACTTAAGCTACCTCTATCTGTTCTAAATTTCATAGAAGACTAAGTTCACCTGCAACTGCTCTTGCAACTTACAATGTTTTGTAATCTTTATCCAAAAGTCAGATGATTATTTTATTTTTACTTGCTTTTGCCTGTGGAGAAATTAAGGCAAATTCACTGTCATAACAAGTATAAGCTGTTCTAAACACAAACTGTTACTATGCACAATTATTAAAATATTCAACATTTCTACTGTAAAAAAAAAGAGTAAACCAGCATTTTATTATAGCAAGAACAGCTTCACTGTCTTTTATTTGTAGTCAGTGATGGGAAATGTTTGTATTGTTTGCCACTTACCCTTGGGCTTCTTGAATTGAGTGTATACATGTTGTGTAATTCTTCCAGTTTTTCTTTTATTCTTTTTGTCATAGCTTTGTATGTTGGTGAAATGTTATTCCAGTTTTTTTGCTCTGATTTCAGAAGGTTCTTGTGCAAAAGGTCTGAAGTTACTATGGATGTATTTTGCTTCCTTTTGGAAGAGACTTTTGTTCCTTCCTGCTAAGTAAGGAAAGACAACAATGGCTACAAGCCAGCACACTACATAGCAATCTGAACACACTGAGGCAATATCCCCTGAGCCACAGGCCCCAAACCAGCTTAATTAATTACAAAAGTACATGCCAATAAAAACAAAAACTGCAGTTGCTATCTGTTTTATTTTAACTCTTCCTGATCTTTTGGGAGGCACTGTCAAATGTGATTTACTTGACACATTGAGGTCTTCTCTTCAAAATTTAAGGTACTATTAATATAAGCTCTTGATTGATTATTAGTAAATATGTTTGTTCCTGTTCTAGAACTAGGTTCTACTTTTTATGGAATTCTATTATTTTTCCTTCTTCACAGCTTTCTTTCATAATGTGCTGTCTTTAGAGTGTGATTTCTCATTTCCTTTCCTAGACAACAGTGCCCACACCTCTGTCCCTGTACCTAGGAGTCCTAGCAGCTCATTCAGGTTCTTGCTCCACCTCCTCAGAAGTGTTAATATAAATGTTCATAAGGTGCAGAATGAAGTGAACTGATATGGGTTCTGCAACAATTTTGTCAGGAATAAGTTTAAGGATCTGGTTTTCCATGAAATGTGAGATTACTGCTACCTCACTGCCAACAAAGCTGTCTTCTAGTGTAAAAAATGTTAAGTGTGTTAAAACTGCTACAACAAAATCCTACTTCCTCTTGCATGCTGTGAAATCCCACTTGATCAAGTAGTAAGCTTCACAACTTATATTACACTACATAATACTGCACAGATCACACAAATTAGAATTTTATAACAGTGTATGATTTGAATGTGTCTAGGCTTAAAAAGCAGCCTGTGCTTCATATCCTGTCCTTGCTTTCATTAAGGAATGTTGGTTTGTTCCTAGTTTGTCTTCAGAAACACATGAGAACCAAAATGTGAATGTTTCAAATAGACTGAAAGGAAACCATCTGCTCCAGTTGCCAAACTGCCTAGGATCATAAAGCACATAATTGCTGAGAGCTGGGAGTGTCTGTCACTAGTTCAGACCAATCCTTCCTGTCACCTGGCACAAGGCAAAGAAATTGTGAAGGCTATTAGAGAAGCTCTAGAGCAAGTGAGTGACTGCTCAGGAGAAACAAACTTCTGGATAACAAAGGTGTACCACCTCACCCCAGTCACTGGAAAAACTGTTGTAAGGTAACACCATGCCCCAAACATGATGCAACCAAATAAAACCTCACAGTGGCCAAAAATGGATACTTAGGAAAAGGTAAGAATAGGACAAGACAGATGATTTTCCCCAGCCTTAAACAATTCTAGCTCAGGAATTTCCTAAGCAGAACATGGTTTCTGGATATTTAAAAAGTCTCTCTCATATATGTAATTTCTATATCTCATATATGTCTCCCCTTATACCTATATAAAATTTTAGTATCCACAACTTATTTTGACATGTTTCATGCTTTATGAATCTTTTGACTAATGCCTTCCTTTTGTATTTAGCAATTCCCATTGTATTCATTTGGAAATATTATATACAGCTGGTGGTCCCAGTGTTGGGATGTATTAAGAGATACAGTACACCTCCCTGCCTGGGGAAAATCCAGCAATCTTGAAAGATTTTCAGGATAGCAGAGGACTTCAGTGACAATTGGTGTGCAAACATTTTCTCCAAAGCCAATGGGCACAGCCTCCTCACAAACATGGTGAAAACCATGTTTGCATCCTGGGACCAGTGTCACAGAGCAGCATTTGTAACAATCGTGTTAGTGAAGTTCCACTGAGTAAATGGAACAAATATTCTTGTCCCTCCAGACCGCCTATGTTCTCTTTGAAACATTTGCTTACATTTGTGACACAGCCTTAGGAACTCTTCAGAATGACAAATAAAAGAGTTACAAGATAACCTTTGTGTTACCTCTGAAGAAACACTATCAATTTGAAACAATTTTAGGACAACCAGGCACCCATCTGAAAACATGTTTGAGGGATCAAATAAACCAAAACAGACATGTTTTAAAACAATACTTATGCATATAAATAAGTTTCTAGGCTGTCATACTTCAGTAAATTTTACAATACCTCTAGCAAAATCTGTATTAGAGACACTGAGACAGAAGACCTAAAATTATTTCAGACTGTTTTCTGACTCTGTTCATGATATACTGGATGTACTGCCATCCAGTTACACAATATTTATTTACAGAAATCAATGCACATTCCTTTTAAAATATAGTTTAGAACATGCGAGCATCATATCATATTTTAATATGATGGAAACCATGACTTACTGGTCAACACAGAAAAGTCAAGTGTTTTTTGAGCCAGCTCACTGTTTGGTATCATCAGTTAGGACACTTTGCTTCTACACTAGCTGATCTCTCCCTGCAGTTTTCTCCTGACACTTTACCTAAGTCTGGAAGATACCATTTTTTTCAAAATTACAATAGCAGGAAAATCAACCAAAATGCATCTTTATGTCAAAACAGCATAGGAAAGCTGAACAATGAATGGTACATGTCCTTGAACGTAAGTGATATCCTGGACTTTATTCCTCTGCTTCAAATTCTCTGGGAAAAATATATTTCTTCAACATGTGAAAAGTATCTGTTAAGATCCCTTAAGAGATGCGCCAAGGTGGTTGTTGGTATTAAGTCTATATTTAACAGCATACCTTGCAGGAAAAGAATCTGCGTGGCAGAATACTTCCAGCTGGTGCGGTCCTGTGGGTGCATGTACTTTTTGAACAGCCCAGGATGTGGCACTTTTTTGGTCCAATTTCACTGTAAGGACACACTCTTTGAGCAGGGTTATGCTTTGAGTAGTACTTGGCACTGAAGGTCAGCCCTTGGAGAAGATTCCGCAGTCCAGCACAGCACATCATAACCTTCATTTCGTGACAGCCAGCCTGGAGTTTCTGAAAATCCCAAACTGCCGATCATTTACACTGTGCATGTGAAATACACATAGCATAAACTGCAGGCGTAAATACACATACACACAGAGGAAACAGACATAGTGTAAACTTCCTCTTTCAAAGGAATGGGACCGATTCACTACGTACATCAAATGAGAAGAATATAAGTAAAACTTTGTTTGTTAACAAGTGGCACCTACATTTTAACCTGAACATTCCGGGCGGCCCAGAATTTAACTCCAGTGAAACTTTGGGGAGAAGGGGAGCTGCACGTCCAAAGGATGAAGGCCAGAACACTGGGAAAGTCTGGAGGAGTCGTCCCCGCCTCAGTTCCCCAGCATCGAACACCAAACCCAGGCTCTCTCCCGAGGCTCCAGGAGCTGAACCCCGTTCGCAGGAGCACTGCGGGGGTCGGGCCCCACGAGTGCGGCTGGACCCGGCGCGGCCCCGCTCCCCGCCGCCGCTGTCGGTCCGCCCGCCCGCGGAAGGACTCGCCGTGCCCGTGCCCGTGCCCGTGCCCGTGCCCGTGCCCGCGCCCGTGCCCGCGCCCGTGCCCGCGCCCGCGCCCGTGCCCGTGCCCGTGCCCGCGCCCGTGCCCGCGCCCGCGCCCGTGCCCGTGCCCGTGCCCGCGCCCGTGCCCGTGGCGCTGCTCCCGCTCCCGCTCCCGCCGGGCCGGCGTGCCCGGGATCAGCTCCGGGCGGGCGGCAGCGCTCCGGCGGCGCTGCCCGTAACCAAGATGGCGGCAGGGCGCTTCAGCAGCCGCGCCGCCCGAGCGCCGCTGATGTCAGCGCCGGGACGCGGACCCACAGCGGGGCGGGCACGGTCCCTGGCGCGGCTTTCCCGGGTGGCCGCCGTGCCACACCCAGTCCCGTCCCCAGGCGCGGTGGCCACGGGCGACTTGTCTTGAGGCGCAGCCACGCCGTGCCGGGCCTGAAGAGCACCGCGCTTCCTCGGCCGCCGAGAGTCGCTCGACGCTGCCCTTAGCAAAGATGGCCGCGCACCTCCTCCCGCTCCATCCCTAGCCCGGCCGGTCCCGCAGCCGCTGGATGCTCAGCGCCGCGTCCCCGCCGCCCGAGACAGCGCTCCCTCCCTCCCTCCCGCCGCCGCATGGCCGAGACTGCCGGCTCCCCGCGCCGCCCCGCCGCGGGCAGGTGCGGGGCGAGCGGTGCGGCGGCGGCCCGAGCCCGGTGGCGGCTGCTCGGACAGGTAGGGGGAGCCCGCGGGCGGGAGGGGCCGGCATGGCGGGGCGGGCGCCGCCGGGGCAGCGCGGGGTCGCATGCTCCCCCGGCCGGCGGGACCCGCGCTGCCCGCGCCCCTCACGGGAACATTGCGAGCAGCACTGTGGGGGGGGTCAAGTAAAGGGGCTTGCAGCAGTCTCCCTGGAAAATATGTTAATAATAAGAATATATACATATATATATGTGTGTGTATATATATATATATGCGCCCGACCTTTTCTAAAGAGAGGGGAAGCCGAGGGGCAGGCACTGATCCCTTTAGTCTCGTGACCGGTGACAGGACTTAAGGGAATGGCCTGAAGTTGTGCAGAGGAGGTTTGGGTTGGATGTTACAAAAAGGTTTTTTGCCCAGAGGGTGGCTGGGCACTGGAACAGCTCCCCAGGGCAGTGGCGTCAGGCAAGCCTGACAGCCTGACAGAGCTGCCTGATAGAGTCGAAGTGTTTGGACAATGCCCTCAAGCACATGGTGTGACTCTTGCAGTGTCCTGTGCAGGGCCGGGAGTTGGACTCTATGGTCCTGATGGGTCCCTTCCAGCTCAGCTTGTTCTATGATTTCATGATTCTAAAGGGTGCCTTCAGTAGATCCCCAAAACTGTCCATGGCCTGTGTTAAGGAAGGAGGACAGGAGGACCAGCATCCCACTGCCACCCGCACCACCTGAGGGCACCTTTTTATTTTCAGGCCATAGTTTGACACCTTCCATCTCTGCTGCCGCTGGGGTTGGTTGTTGTGGCTGCCACCTCATTCCTGCTCTTTGCTCCTTGCCCACCAAGACTGCCTTTGGCAGGGAGCTGGAGTGAGACCCCGCTTACCTGGCAGTGAAAACTGAATTTTGCTGAGGGGCTGTGCCTGGAGCAAGGTGAGGAGGAAGAAGGAGCAAGTAGTGACACCTGTGCTGTGGTAAATGGCAGCTCTTCAGCTGCAGCCTTCCTTCCACACAGTGACGGAGCCTTTCAGAGCAGTGCGAGGTTGGAAAGGATTCCTCTGCAGATGAGTGTAAGCATAAGGGCTTAAAAATTCTCGTCTGTTTCATTGGTTGTTATTGTTACAGGATGTGAAATTTACAGCCCTGACGTGTTTGGTTCTGTGCAGATGGACGTCAGGAGCTGCCTATGGACAGCTGTCCCTGAGAGGGCAGAGAGGTGGCACTGAGTCAGTGGTGGCAGCTGGGTTGGAAGGGGGACCTGGCTGCAGCTGGGTCACAGTGGGAGGCCTGGGAACATCAATATCACACTTGCTGTGTGCTTTTAGTTTCTAAATTTGCCGGTCCTGTTCAAAAGGACCAACTTCTGTTTTAATATACTCCAAAGCAGGAAATGTCAAAGTTACTGATAGGAATATCTGCTTTGTCTTTGTAGGTTTCTGTTCTAGCGGCCCATGTAAGCTGCACTCTGTGGCTGTACTAGCTGTTATTTCTTCTCAACATATACTGCCTTTGGCTTATTCCTGTCTCTTAAAATCATAAGGAGCTTTTCATAACATTAGAGTGGGGTTGTGGAAGAGTGCATGTAGGTATTTGGGGAGAAGGCTTCTCTTTTTTTCTCAAACTACATGTATCTGTGACCTTTTCCTCTGCAGATTCCCTTGGTTTTTCCATGTTCTTTAGCTTCTCTGTTGATTTTTATATGGTACAATGAGCAAGGATCAATTTAATCTTAGTGGTACATCTGAAGTAAAAATCAGTTCTGTGCTCTTTGCTACAGTGGTGCTCAGATCTATCTATGGATTGGAAGAAGGTATCAACCTCCCTTTAAATCTATTTTTAAAGGAGCACTGTCAAAGTGTTTCTTACAGTGCTTTTAAAAGCACTTTTCATACTGCTTATAATAATGCCTTACGTGAAATCAGTTCTGTGGTGTGTTTATATCTTGAATTTGCTTTCATTCAATGCACACACAAATTGATTTATTATGGTAAGGATGCTTGAGTGCATGCTCGCTGATTTAATTAAAAAAAAAAAAGCTCTTTTATGAGGTATCCTATGAAGCTAGCATAAAGAACCAGGGGTTTGCATAATTACCTGTGTGCTCTTTATCAATGAAATGTTTTATGTATGTACTGAGTTTGAAGTTTGGCAATATTTTCAAACTTAGTCTGTCAGAATCAAGAAAAGTATTTTTTGCATTTTAAAGAATGCTGAGGGAAGTTACCCATTTACTGTGCATTTCTAAATAACTGGATAAGTTATCTAAGGCTGTGTTTTGAGCTGTGCCAGTCTCTGTGGCTGAAGGCTTTATTCAATCAGTAGTTTTCACAGAGAAGTTAGAGCAATAGGCATGCTTTAGGTTCCTCTCTGTATGTATATTTGCTCCTTATAGAAAGTTTAATGAAATCTGTAAGCTTTTTTTTTGTTGTTGTTTTTTTGTTTTTTTTTTCCTATCTTGCTCTTCTCACACAAGTCTCAGAATCACAGATTATGCTGAGCAGGAATGGACACACAAGGATCATCAAGTTCAGTTCCTAGCCCTGCACAGGACCATCCCCAAGAGTTACACCACATGCCTGAGAGTATCTGCTTAGTATCTGCTAATGTACTGTAACTTCCAGAATTGAAAAATAAAAGCTAAAGTGAGGACAAGTCAATGACACTTTTTTCCCTGAACAGAAGCATGTCTAAAACAAATTTTCATCTCTTCTCTCTGTGAAGGGTGCTCATTCTTCGGATCTTTTTTCCATGCTTTTTTTAGTCTTGAGTTTATAAATTATTTAGGGTAGGACGAAACAATTTAGAAAATATATTATTTGTAAAAATAAATACTATAGTCCTATGGAGGATATTTAGAGTGCAGTTACAGCTTATGTTGCAGTTGATTGTGCAGAAACTTTCCTGCATGTGCAAAATACCATTTTGCAGTTGCTGCCACAGAACTGGCAGAGGTTTGTAGACCATAAGCTGTTACTGAATTTGGCTCTTAGTGCAACTAGGCCTAACACAAAGCTATACAAGTACGGGGAATTTCAAGTGACTGCCTTTCTCCATGTTGTTTGCAGTAGATTCTCTTTTGGTGAGGTTTTTTTAAAGAGATCTCAACCAGTCTTAGGTTATATAGAAGTCCTAAACATGGTCCTAATACTTTGACTAAATACCAAGGGCGTTGCAATTGAGATCTGTGGTAATATTTTACCAGAATCTTTGTAAAACAGAGACTGGTGATGAGTTGAGTTTGTCACCCTTTTGTTTTTATCAGTGGGTTATTCTAGAGCAATAATTTATCTTTCTACCGTATTTTACACAATTGAGGTAGTGTTTTAAGTCTTTTAAGAACAGACTTGAGAAAACCCCCTTCTTGATCCATATGTAAAAAATACGGAGCTAGATATAAATAATATAACATATTCTCCACTTGTGCTATGTTCTCAGTTACACATAGGGTTTTAAAGTATTTGACCTGCTGTTGTAATTTTCAGATATTAGACCACTTGATTTTTGTTTGAGGCTGTGGGAGAAATGTTCTTTTGATTATTCAAATGTTCATGAGATTTTCTGCTAACCCAGAGTGTGTGTGCTAACCAGCACACACAATTTTACAGAGTGGCTATAAGATGTCTCTGTACAACCGAAACTGAAAATAGAAAAGTGTTGTTGCTGTTGTATTTTTTTTCTTGTTAGTAATGCCTTGCTATTGCTTTAAAGAAGTCCCCAAACAACACACTTTTCTGAAAATTAGGTCTTGCTGGTTATCTTGAGATGTCAAGATAGCCCATTTTGTTTTCAGGCACACAGCTATTACATGAAGGTCTTAATTTTGCTGGTCTTCTAATTTCATTCTCCTGTTTTGATATTTTTATGTTTTCCTTCATGTGCGTATTTTTCTCACGTGTTACAGAAGTAGTGTGGATAGCACCCAGACATTTTTAATACTTCATGGAAAATACCTGTGCCTTTCATATGATGAGACCTGCCAATGAAAATAGCTCCAAAAGCAGTAAGCCTGATGCCTCAGACCTGCTGTTAGGAACCAAAAGTGTAGCAGATACAATTGTTCTGCTCACATATGGAATACTTCCAAATATCCCAAAAAATAATAAGTCATGGCCCCCAGCTGTAAGGCTTTTAAATGTGAATGCATTTTCAGTTAAAGCATGTCAACACAGGTTGGGTACAGCAAAAAAATCACTGACCCATTATTTTTTTTTGTATGCATCCAGTATACAAATCTTCTATTTCAAGTTTAATAATTCTTGAGAGCTGTTTCTCATTTGATTTATCTCTAGTTGGCAAAAACTTGTAAATTGCAGTGCTGTCCTACTCAATGGAGCTCTTCCTTGTACCCCTACCCTATCAATTTATAGTGATGAGTTTATTTTCTGCTTGCTCAGGTTTTGTTTTTTTTTTTAATCCATCACTTGGGACTGCATATGCAACTTACTTTTAAAAATGCAATGGCAATTTTTAATGTATTCTCTCCAATGTTAGGAGAAAGAAGTTAAATCTAGGACACCTCTCCTTCCATCTCACTATCCTAAGGAATAAATCTTTTTGTCTGGCAGGGAAATTCTGGCTGTCTCTGAGCAATGGCACAGCTCAAACCAGCTGAGTGCTGGGTTCTCCTGCACAGAGGGGCTGATACCTCACTCCCTGAAGATGGTTGAGTGCAGCAGACTAGGCAGGACAGAGAGCCCACGTTTTCACTTTCCTGAACAAGTGTTTTAATAATTTAAGAAATGTAAATGACATTCTGTCTCTGTCACTGCCTTAAATTCTTCTGTCTCTTAGCACTGAACTTGGTGCTCTCAGAGTGTTTTCGGGCTCACCTGAAGTCTGTCTCTGTGTCAGTCCCCTTACAGGGGCCTGGTAGGGGAATATAGAATTGTGGCATCTGAAAGTCTGGGGCTGGGATAGGGAGCAATTTTCTCATCTTGGGCAACTTTGGCAGCATCTCTGCAAGTGTGCAGCAGAAGACTTCTAGGCTAGGAAGGAATCTGTCAGGGGGACACACAGCGCTCTGGCACCTGAAGATCATGTTTGTCATTTTAATTCTACAAAAGATACCTTTGTTGTTGTTGTTGTTGACCTTTTCCCCCTCTTTAGGGACAGTGAGTGGCACAGAAATTGCTTGGGGAGCGCACTGCTTGGGCCATGAAATTTGGTAAAATGAGAGGATGGGAAGAACCCAGTTTGCCCCTCTAATTTTTGCATGGGTTTGCTGGAGCATGAGTTAAAAAAGCAACTTTTTGTATTTCTTAACACAGTACATTTGCTTTAGTTATTGAGACATAATTCATAACTCATTCTCTTGACCCCTACCATCAATACCATTGTATTTTGTTCAGGCTTGACAGACTTGGTTATTCATAACTACTAGCTGATAGCATATCCATTATGGTTTGCTGTGGTTTCACTCAAAAAGGCATGGGTTTGTTCTCTTCTTGTTTTATTGTTTGTTGTTAATGTTTATTTTGCTCTTCATTTCAAAGGTTCTGAGGAAAAAGCACTTGAAAGATGTGCATCTCCAACAAGTATCTGTCAGAAGGTTTGCATCATTCAATCTCTTTTCAATAGAAGACCAGAATACAGAAGAGGAAACTGGGACCTGGGTTCAATATAGAAGCATCTTTTATCCCAAGTACAGTGTCTCCTTAAGGTAGTCACAATTTAAGTTTTAAGTACTTTCTAAGATCTTGAATGGGCCTCAAATATAAAACTCATTAGTGATTCTTCCAGTGTTTTGTGTCACTAGGGCATAGTTTACAAATAAACTGGTAAATGCTGTTTTTAGTTGTTTGTTACAGTAAGCAGCTTGTCTGACTCTTCTTTCTGGTACATTTCACTGAAGTGGCAGAACTTGATGAAAATACTGATGCTTGTAGCTAAAACAGAATGCAAATATGAGCATGTATTTTATATTTTAATAGCTTCCTGTTTTGATTTTTTCAGCTATAGATAGGATATAAAAAAACCTGAACACAGTTGTCCATGGTCTTAAAATTTTTTATGACATGATGTTATTAATAATGTTCTAAAAGGTTTTTTGTAATTATTTATATTTTATTCAGTTTTCTTCTTAGTGCTTTTTTTAAAACTCAGTGATAATTTGGCAGCCAAATTCCTACAAAATAATATATATTTAATGAAGTAATTTTATATTTGGGCAGGTTGTTTTTATTAATGAAATTGACAATTAGAAAGTCCACACACACACAAACAAAGCAACAGAAAGCTTACTTCCCCTCCAAAGAATCTCTGAAGGAATTTCAGTGAATTCTCAGTAGCTTTGTTTGAAACTCTCATTCTTTATTATGTTTGTGGGGTTTTGTTTCTCTTTTCTGTTGCTTTGGTCTTCTTTCCCACGTTCAGTTTTGTATCTTCTGATACAAAATATACTGATACTGAGGCGTACTTGGTTTGTCTCGGGAGGTTTGCAACAGTAATTTAAGAATACCTGAATTGATACTTTTTCTGCAGCATCTAATTAGATCTCTGAAGGTGGAGGATTTTGCATTGTCTGCACAGTGAAAGACATTCTGAAGAGCCCAAATCAAGAAGTGCATTTTTGTTTAGCTGAGCCTTTAAATTAAAGTCAAGCTTAGGAATTAAGATCTAACAAAAAAAGTGTCCATCATTAAACTGCAACATTTTTGCAAGGTTTTAAAATGAACTGATGAGAAAAAAATGAAACCAAAGGACCCCACAACTCTACATGCAGATCATTGTAAATTTGCATCTGGATGTAAAGTCAAGAACAAAATTCTTTAGAGCTTTAAAAAGTCCTAATTTTCCATTTTCCAGGCTTACACTCAGTGATATCAAAAGTGTTCAAAAGGAAACTTTTCCACTGGAAAACTGCTGTTTGTAATAGAAGTAAGCGCAGTGTTTTTCCATGCATAGACTTTTCCTGTAAACCACCAGTGCATGCTGTGGGCTACTTCAAACACTGACAGTCTACACAATGCCTTTGTGCAGTGTTCCCATTCCTTGTTTCTAGGTCTTCAGAGGCACACTGGGGATAGGAAACGCCAGGTGTTCAGGTAGAATTTGGGCTGAACAAGGCTGCAGTCCCTTACAATGCAGCCCTCAACTCCTTTAGTTCACTGTCATGGCTTGCAACACTTGCTGTCACTTGATTTACTTGTTCTGGAGTTTTAAGGTAGGAGATGAGCTAAGGTTTACCTGTGCTGGCAGTACAGAAGCCAAGGGAATGTCAGACTGATCCTACTCTGGCATTTGTGTTCTTCTGTTTCCACCACTTTCTATGCCATCATTTAATTTGGTATTATTTGCCTAATAGTAGTTCCAATGATAATAGGACACAGCTCAACTATGACTTTGAACAAGGTTGTTTATTTATGTGTTATTTTATTGTGTTTTATCTTGTTCAGTGGGAATGTATAGATTCTGTGCTGAAGCAGGCCCACACCATGTTTCCAAAACTGAATATTGAGGAGAATATGGACATTGTCTTCTGCTGGGGATTTTTATTTTACATTTTCCCTGCATTTGTTCCTTTCCAAAAGATATCTAGTGACATTTAAAAATAATAATCACTGCTCGTTTTAGGAATAATGATCAGAACTTGCTTAGTCTTACACACTTCTATATTAAAATGTCTTCTCCACACTGAAGCAGTGACAATACATAGAGTATACTTACTATTTCAGAATATTGTAGGAAGTGAAGAAAGGAAGGAGAATACTGTGGTTTTTGCTAGGAACAAGGTATAAATAGACTGCAACAAAATTGACTTTATCATGAGTCAGTGTTAAATAAAGTTTCTTCCCTGTTTTTGCAAAAGCAGTAATTTAGGGGATCAGCATAACAATTTAACATACATAACAGAGCAACAGATTTTGCTGAAACTTACATATCTAAAAGATAAGAAATCTTGGAGTAAGTGTTCCTGGATCATTGAAAATTGATCATGTGTTGGAAACTTAAGCATTCTCTGTATGTCTGACAGTCTTCCATTAGTTTTTCTCTGTCCACTGGCAAAATTTTATTTATAATAATATTTAACAACAGAGACAATTTTAGCAAGTTAACAAGAGCATAAGAGCATAATATTAACAATAACTTCAGTCAGGTAAATCCAGAACAGCATGCTTGAATAGGAAAGCCTTTTTATATATTTTTTTCAGGAAAAAAAAAAATGTTGCTGTGGCCCCTCTAAAATCTTGACAGAAGTGCTTTGGAATTTTCATCTACATTTGTTTTCCTTATGCATTAACCTCTTCTTAGAAAAGCTCATTGGATATGTTCAATGTTAAAAGGGTTGTCAGCTAATATCTTGACGAGACTAAATACTTAAGAAAGTTCATAAGGTTGTTAGTGGCTTTTGGCAAAGAGTATAAAGGTCAAGCTGTATCAGTTCAAGGGCTGTCAAAACTGATAAAATTGTATATTCAGATATGCTATGACCTAGCTGGAATTACTGCTCTAGAGGGGCTTGGGACCAGTTTGTCAGGAAAATAGAAGCTTTTGTAGAAACTACTTGTCATGTGTATGCTTTTCTGAATTTTGTTAGTTTTGCTGTTTCTCTAACTAAATTCAGGCTGGATTTACATCTCAGAAGACCTTATGCCATGTTTTTCTGTCAGTAGTTTATATTTTTTGCATCATTCTTAATAACAAATCTTCCAAAGCAGAAAGTCAGAAGTCCCAGTATAAGGCAATTTTCAGCTTAAAAAATTTAAGCTGAATTTAGGTGCCATTTTGACCAGATCCTTGAAGTGAAATATCATTGACTCAGTTTAAAAAACCCCATAACTCTTCTGGTTAAACAGTGATCTCCAGTGTGCTTAATGAAATGTAGATTAATAATGCATCAGGGGAAATGTCTCTTGAGGTTTGTTTAGGTATTAAGGTGCTTCACAGTAGCCTGGGGTATTAAAAGGAGTGTCTGGTGAGTGTGAGGTTTTGTTAGCAGTGAAGGGTGTGTCAAAATGAAATTTCTTGTGTTAGAAACCAAAACCTTATTTTCATAGTGTAGTCTCACCTGGATTTGTGTTTATTTGATGTTCCTACACACTGCATCCTTGTCTTGATGTAAATTGAGCTGTCTCTTTCCTGACCTGAATCCTGGATGCTCAGACAATTTCTGTGTATTTCTCACATGCTACTTGACTTTGCTTCCACACTTTGTAGGTTTCTTTTTGGTGTTTGAATTTGTCCAGGAGTATCTTGTTCATCCACGTAGGCCTCCTGGCTTTCTTGTCTGACTTCCTTTTGGTCAGGATGCATTGTTCCAGAGGTGATCATTGGATATTAGCCCGATTTCTTGAGCCCCTCTTCTCTCCAGGTCTTTATCCTATGGTATTCTACCAAACAGATCCCTGAAGAGGCCAAAATCTGCTCTCCACAAGTCCAGGGTAGCAAGCTTGTTGTGCACCCTTCTCACTACCCTAAGGGTCTCCAACTCCACCATTTCATGCTCCTGGCTGCCCAGGCTTCCTTGGAGATTCGCATTTCCCATCAACCCCTCCTTGTTGGAAAGAAAAAGGTCCAGCATAGCACTTCTCTTTGTCAGCTCCTCTTGAAAAGAGAAGCAATTCAGGAACCTCCTGGATTCTTTATGCCCTAGTCTGTTGTCCCTTCAACAGATATGGCAGTGATTAAAGTTCCCCATGGAGGACAGGGCTTGTGAATGCAAGGCTGCTCCTCTCCCTGTCTGGAGAGGTTTGATCTGTTGGTGTCCCTGTAGCAAGCCCTCACTGTAATGTCACCAGTCCCTGCCTTCCTTCAATCCTGACCCATCAGCTCCCAGCTGACCCATCAGCTCCTTGTCCATCCTCAGGGAGAGCTACAAGCACAGCACCACTGTCTCCATATCACCCCTGTGTTTTTATTTATAGAACTTTCAGGTGTGTTTATTAGCTTTTTTCAAGTTCCACTTAACTATGGCAGTACTTCACTTTGCTGTTAAAAAAATATGCCTGTGCTGAATATGTGTTTTCTTAGGGATCAGAAGATATAAAGTAAGTAAATAGAACTATTTAAAAATATTTATTTAATACTGTCTTTCTAAATCCTTGTTCTTCATCAGGAATGTGCTTTTAAATTTGAATTTTGTATGAATAGTTTTAGCAATGAAGTGGTTATAGATCATAAAGATGTAGTGTCTCACTATTGAGACGGTGCCTGCCTTTAAGATAGGAAAATTGTTCTTTTATTTGAGTTAAAAAAGAAGCAATCAATATCTTCAAATTTTCTATTTCAGGATATGGACTTGCTTTTAAATTGTAGGCTCATTTTAAGAAAACAGTGCAGAAATAAGTTATTTCTGTGGTAAAATATTTTCCATTGATCAGTCATTTACTCTTTCAAACACTGAAGTGCAGAACTGAAAAGAACACTGTCAGCAGCTTACAGGAAGGGTTAAATCTTTATAAAATGTGTTAAGTGTACTTTGCAAGATGTCATGCCTTTATTCTGAATATGAATGAACCTGTAGATAAAAATATGATAGAAACTATTAGATGATTTTAGACCTGTGGTTTAGAAATGAGGAGCATGCAGAGACACCACTTGTCTGTGCAAGCAGTGTATTAGAAGATGGTATAGGACTGAATTTCATTGGCTGTTCCTCTTGGATATTTCTCCTAATAACATTTTCAATTTTTAATGGCTTTTTATTTTAGGGGTAGAGATTAACAAAGCAAAGGCAAACAAATTTCATGGAATATTGCCTACTTATGGACAATTTGTGTGGATATAACAAACTTGCTTTCTTCCATTTATTGCCAAGAGACAGTGTGTGAATTTAGCAGCATAAAGGGTGGGCCCCAGGAGCTGGAAATGAAGGAAAGAGATGAAAAGTGGTTGGCAACGTACTTTTATTCAGCAATCAAAGGATGGCTGTTCCATCATATTGCCCAATATGTGTGTATTTGTAAAAAAGAATTGTAGTCAAAGAAGCTTTGTTTCAGTTTCTTGCCACATTAAGCTGTGATCTAGAACTGGATTGAAAGAAAAGTTGACTTTTTTTGCTATACTCTGGCCCAGAAAGAGCATCTGATAGCCAAGTTTGCAGATAACTCTGAGATTCTTAGTGGCCCACAATGACAATTGATGGTGGTATACAACAAGCTTTTTTCTGAAGTACCCTTAACAGTAATTTTTTACCATTATCTTGTCTTTCATTTTTTACAAATATACTTTTAATTTGTACATAGGTTAATAGTGTTTGGTGATGAGGTTGGTTTTTTCCCTTTTCAATATTACGTGGAAATGTATTCTGTCTTAGATTTTTTAGGTTTTTAAACTGAATATAGGCATATGCTTACTTGCATTATTTTTCATCACTCAGTTTAAGAATAATATAAAAGAAAGGAAGGAACATACTTTTGTTACATTATGGCTGATGAAAAACATACCTTAATAGGGACCAACAGGAGGATTTTTTTTTGTACTAACCCTAGCTTTTTTTATATACAAGTAAAAGTCTGCCACTTGTGTTGCCTGAATTGGAGAGGAAGGAAGATTAAATATTTAAAGATTGATCTCACTCTCTCTGACTTAATCCGAAGTTGATTTATTTGTAGTTCAGAGTAAGGAATTCTGCTTTGCTTTGTGTCAGGAGAAACATGAATTGAATTAGTTTATTGTTCATAAATTTGTCTTCTATTACTCATTGCCTCAGCCATAAAAATTTTTGCCTATTGTTCCTTGGAGACTTATTATAAGAACACTGTGAATCAGATTAACCACGCCAGCCTGAAATTCACTTTTTCCATGATGCTTACCTGTGTTCTTTGAAGTACTTTGTTGATCTCAGAAACAGAGCAAGCACTGAATACTAATGTTCTTCTGTATTTTGAGATACTTGTGGAAATTTATGGGAATTTAAGCATTGGGATTTAATCCCAAGCTTCTGTGATTCTTTTCCTTGACTTTGATAATTCAGTTCACATGACATTTAAGACTGTCAGCTGCACTGTGGAAAGCTGTGATGGTGATAGGCACTCATGGAAACCAGATGTGCTGTATCTTGGCAGCTTTCTCTGGGTTTGCTGATGGAGGAGCAGATGATGGGATGGGACAGTGAAGCAGCAGCTGTTACAGAACTGGTGAGGATGTATGTGCAGGGCAGTGGATATCAAATACAGGCTCTGTGTTTTAGGTGCAGGACTATTTATGGCAGAATTTGGGGTTAGAGAACACCAGTGTTTACAGGTGCGTGTAACTTTAAGTCTGTGAGTAAGGCCTGTGATGAAAGAATTGGGGTGCAGAGTTTGTCTGCAGGCCCCATAAGTACAGATATCCAAATGGAGAGACATGGCTATTGCTGTTTGGAAGTGTGTTTTCCTGAGCTCTCCCTTTCACAAGTACATCAGCTATTGGCACGTTGCTTTCCTCAGTTCTAAAACTTGTTTGCAGGAAGAAATTATGCTCAATTCCTCAGTTTTTGGATTCCCCAAGTTTTAAGCAGTTTTGGCTAGTGCTGTGTTTTTATAATTTCTCCTTTTTGTGTTTGCCTACCTTTTGACCCTGAGGTATGTAAATTGTATTCTTTTCTAGACCAGGAATCTTTACTTACTTCTGTTTTTCTTTCTTCATTAGAACTACTGGTACTAGACTCCTAAATTTTTATCCTTACCTTTGTTTGTTTCACTTGGGAAGTTGCATGATAAATCTCCTACAGACATGAACTATGTGCATAAAGAAGTTGAGGAGGGGGGGAAACGAAACCAAAACATGTTTCCCAAGACTACCCTGCATGCCAACAGAGATTAAATTTTTTTTTACTTCCTCAGCATCTCCCACTCTCCATTTGCATTCATTTAGAGATGAGACATTCACAGCTGAATGAGAGCCTCCAACAGTCCCAGACATACGCAGAGTTACAGAGTTTATAAGGTTCTGAGGAGTCAGCAGGGGAGAGTGTAAAGGGCAGCTCTGTGGCAATCCTATCTCTTTTCTTGTCACTTCCCTTGCACCAGCTCTGTCACATTGGTTGTCCAATTTGATGGAAAACAAACTTGCAAAAAAGAAGTACATTAAAAATCCATATGATCCATCAGCATCCTTGTAGACTTCCTCTGCAGAGAAGGCATGTAATTTTGGTTTAGTTTTATGTACCTGGGAGAAGAGTATTCATGTCCAGTTGAATTGTTTGTAACATCTCTTATATATGTCTTTGTGGCTGATGATGAGCTCAGTTCAGTTCGTTAATTTGATTTCCATTTGATTTTCATTTTTAAAAAATAAGTTAACTGCCGGTTGGGGCCTCCCAAAAATTTAACTTGTTAGTGTTTATTTAATGCTTATGCTTATCAGAAGCTATAAATAGTTTTTCACAATAAATATGCAATTTCATGTTTGCAAATGGTTGATTTTTCCCCCCATTCTTACAACAGTCTTCCTTCAGGAAAGAACAGCTAAGAGAATGAGAACTAATTTTGTAGGTGCTAAAATTCTTGAATTTATTGCATTTTTTTTTTAGTGTTTCAAATTAGTATGTTCCCAAACAGCCTTAGAAACTATATTTGAAACATAATTAAACCCCTATATTTCCATATTTTGCTGCATTGCTGAATTCCTTCTAGATTTTCTTTAATACATTTGTGAAACAACTATGTGATCTGATTGTTGTAAAGTGTGAGACTAATCTTTTGTTCATTTTGGGCTTAGATTAGTTTGGAATATTTAAAACAAGATTAGGTGCTTTTTTATGTGTGTACCACTGCACATTTGGAGGCAAATCTTAGGTAAATTTTTATTCAGTTTTGGTACTTATTCTTTCTGCTGCTGTCAGTGTTATGCTTGCTGCATTCTAAAATTTGCACCTAGTGTATGAAATTTAGGTAATTAATTTATTATCCCCCCTTTTGAATGTTTATTTCACATGGGTTATGAAAATATAAAACAAAAAAAATGCAGTTCGCTGAACACATTAATTAGTATTAACTTAGTTAAGTGTTTTTGATTTTGTGGGAGAAAATAGGAACGTACATACAGCTGCTGTTCAAAAATACTTTATGGGTTTTCCCTTTCAAAGAAATTGTTTTACCAAAATTCCTCCTTTCCAATATGTGTCTTCTACAACTAAATAAAAATTGATGCTCCTTGGTAATGTTTTCCTCTTGATAGTATTTCTGAGAAACACATTCCTCCTGATTAATGGATTTCAGTGCTGGGACTTTGAAGACTGGTGATTGTCCCCTTGTTTTCCCCCTGGTGGCTACAGCAGTACCTTTTTGCTGCTTCACTGTTAAGGGGGGTGGTGAGAGGTGAATGCATGCAGTAAACTCTTTCTTGAAGATTTTTTAATGGTTTATGTATCAGTAAAGTCGCTTTTTATGTTTTTTTCCAGATTTCACAATGGCCTCTTAAATGTTAAAGATGTTCTTACAAGTTTTGACAACACGGGGAATGTCTGTAAGTCACTGTTTATTTAAGTACAGTCCTATGCTGATAAAAGTCTAACTGTGCCAATATAAAACATTTCTGTATGAGCCCTCAGTAACCATTTCATTTAGCTGGGAAACTCCATTACTGTGGTCAGGGTTACCATAGCATTACAGTTTTATGCAGCACTGTTGTTTGTGTTGGATACACCCTTAAGTTCTCCCAGTGCTGGTTATTTTTGATTGTGGCTATGGTGGGAACATTAGAGCAAGTGGACTGGACTGGATAAAACATTAGTTTAGCCCATTGATTTGTGTTGGCCAGGGTTAGCAGTAGCTGTGTGAGGAACAGCAGTGCAGGAACATGGGAAGCAATCAGGTAGTCCTAGCTTGGTGAGAACAAACTTGAACCAGAGAAACACAAAAGAAAGCACTCAGTCAAGTTGTGAAATTCCTCCCTACAGAATGTTTTGGATCCTAAAACATGAAATAAATTCAAAAAAGGGGAAAAAAATGGTGCAAGAAAAATTTCCAGTGACTGTCAAATATATAGACATCACTTATGGCTTAGGAAGTGCTGGGTGTTAGGAGAATAAATGGGGCAGTAGGATGATATGTTTGTCCTGATCTTTCACTCTTGTCTGAGCATCAGTTACTGGCTGCATTAACCTGAGGCAAGATGAACTCTAAGTGGACCATCAGTGTCTGACCCAGTATGACTCTGCTTCAGTATACTTATTAATAAAATTATCTATGCTATTAATGGACTTGAATTATCAAATTGTGGTAGGTGGTAAAAACAAAGCTGGGCAAACATTGAAACATTTTTGATGCGATGAGTAATTACTATTATATAATTAACATTTAGATATATGCGTATAATTGTTGTTTGGTTATTCTGCCTTATATTTCAGGTTGGTTTGTTTGTTTTCACAGAAGTAAACTGATAAAGTTGATAAAGTTTGCCAGATATTCAAGAAATATACACATATTTCCCCCTACTTATAAAGCCAATAATATAGAAACTGTTTTGATATATATGTTTTATCTCAAAATTCCAGTCTTAATATTCCAAGCTATGTTTTGATAAACATTAGTTCATTATATAACAACTTAAACATTTATTTCGAACAGCAGAGAAAATGCTTTCTGTGTGTGTGTGTCTAAAAATGCTTCAGGTAAGGAATCAGGACAGTGTAATATGGTAACACAATTTCTTGCTCTTTGTGTGGGTACTGAGTTTCTGCTCAATCTACACAGATTTCCTTGTTAACACAAAGAATTTATTCTGCTGAAGTTCTCATATGCTTTCCTATTGATAGATGTGTTGTCAGCTCTTCTTCCAGTATTTCAGCTACTTTTTTATTGATTGCAGATGGTAGAGCAAGACTTACACTCTAATAGGCACACCACCAACGCAGGAGTAATGTGTCATTTGTAGTTCTCACTGTTTCTCTGTTTATACAAAGATTCACATTTGTCCTTTTGGATTCGGAATTGCTTTGAGGGTTCATGCCATGCTATTATACATAGCCTTTGCCAAGTCATTTCCAGATTCAATGCTTCCCTATTTTAAAATGTCTTTGTCTGTGTCTGTCTGTATGGATCCACATATTACTGATTTATGCCTGTTTTACTGTGCACTCTAGATTACATGCTATTAGCATAACTATAAAATTATTATCTTTTGGCAGCATACACTACTGGCTTGGAGTGTAATAATCACACTTTTTTGCTACCACCTGTATGGAATAACTGTTGTCAGTATCCCAGCCAGAGTAACTAGGTGCCTGTCGCACCGTCATAGTGAAGTTCTCCCAGCCATGTGTTTACTGAGTTGCTCTGTTTGGGTCATACTTGATGGAATTTTTGTGCACTCCCATTATCTCTTAATTTGAATTGGCTCTTTCTTTGATCTTTTCCTATGTATTTCTTGACTCTCTTTGTGTTAACCCACTGTGGAAATTATAAGGATGTTGTGTTATCTCCTTTTACCTCCAGAGGTAACTACTATTGTCTTTCTAAAATTAGGTAGACTGTTTTTTATAATTTCTGTAGTGTTCTACAAGAACATTTTATTATCAAACCATAGTATACTGATAAAACCCCCCAATGTTTCTTAAATGCTCTTTGACAGTATCAGATTATTTCTCCTAATATTTAATACTAATGGAGCTAGCTAGAACTCAGTGTGCTATCACAGCAGCGTGCTCTGTGAGGGGGGTGCACTGAATAATTACAACTTCAGTGTTCTTTTGGGGCACACTGTTAGCATTTATTTACTGGCCACTAAACTTCACTTAAATGAAGTTTAAATTTTAACGACTTGGACTGAGTTAGCACAAAGCAGGGAAATGTTTTAGTATTCTGTGTCTTTGTTTTGGCTGCCATACTGAATATTTATCATGAGATTAATGGTTTTCTAGAAGTTAGTAGATGATGAAATAATTTTGTATGAAGCAGAATAGCTTTTGTAAAAACTTAATTTTGTCTTTAAACATAATAATTTGTTTCAAATAACATGGTTTTTGTAATTTGGGGGGAGGTTTTTTGTTTCTTCTAGGAAGTACTTTCTGTTAAAATAAGCTCTTTCAGGGAGTGTTAATATGGTCTTTCAGTTTCCCATGCTGATCTCCGTGCTTATGGTCTTTGACAGCCACATCACTGTATTCCATCAAAAGAAAAGTGATAGAGCAGACTCCAGTTAATACCACTGTCTCTATACTCCCAGTAGATATCAACTCAGTGCATGATGTGCCACTAGCTGGCAGCATTATATAAAATATCAATAAGCAGCTTTTGAGGAGTACTTGTGATTGCTTCCAAAAATGCTGCCTTACACCAGAAAGGCTTCCGGATAAAAGGGAGCCAACTGCAGTAGCTGTCAGTGGTATATTGCAGGGTCCCAATTGTTAACTTTGAAAATTGCCTCTGCACAATGGCTTGTTCAAACTTTGTATTTGTATACTTATACTTGTATTCTGTCTTTTTAAAAAAGATTTCTGAACATGCATTTGCACTGTAGGATTGCCATTGTGAATGAAAATTCACATTACAAGTTGCAATAGGTTTTCACTTTCTCGGAAAAATGTGGAAGTTTTTTTCTCTCTGCTCATCCTTTGTGGGAGAGTGGTTTCCACATGAAAACTCTAAATGAATTCTCCACACAGACAGGATGTATTGCTAAATGTACTTCCTTCAGCTTTAGTTCTATGCATAAACAGGAGGCAGGGAAAAGAGGACTGGAATGAAGGAAAGGATCAGTCTGTTCCTTTTAGACAGCAATATGCCATCTGTTAAAAAGAGGGCACATGACACCATCTCTAGTCCTGAGATAGTCCTTTAAAAGAACTGATGGATCCCAGGCAGAAGGTTCAGTGGTGGCATTATGGGATAATATCAGCTGGCCCCTGGAACCACATGCTATGCTCATCCTGGCAGAAGAAATTGTCCAAAGATCAAGGAAAATTCTGCAAGGGTGATCTTTTGAGAGTGTCTCCTTCCCTTGCCTTTCCAAGTGGGAGAAAGTAGTTATAACTGAAGTGTTTATGACTCTATCCCAGAAGTAATCATTGCAGATTATATAAACATTTAGATTAAGTGAAATTATCAGGGCCAAAATAGAAACCTCTTTACTATTTGCCCCCAGTCTAAGCAAGCTACAGGCTGTGTAAAGGAGAATTTTAATAAGTGAAATACAGCATATTTTTGAATGTTCATCTGATATGTTTCTGTCTGATGTTATCACAGAAACAAGATATTCCAGAATGCTCAAGTAGTATAAAATTGAAAATTTACTATATGTAATACAAAACATTTTCTTGTTAACTGCACATAGCATTAGTTAATAATTTCATTTTCAAGAAACAAGATGTTCAACACATACTCATTTTATTTTCTGCTTGACTGAGTGTACAATTATATGTTTGCAACTAAAAGAGCAGCAGAGGGTGCTACAGTTACAGAGCTGCCCAGGCAAACACTCCCAAATTGTTGCTCCTGTAGGTGAGTAGACCCTGTAAACACATAAGCTTTTCATTTGGGATAGATGTGAACAGGATAGTTTTAAATTCTGTTGCCTCTGTTTATAGAGGAAAACAGGTAATTTACATGAAATCCAGGAAAAGTAGAATTATATACTCACTTCTTTCTTGATTTTTTTTTTATTTTAATAGTTTAATTGGTGGAAAATGTTGCTGTTTCATGAAAACGTAGTGTTTGGGTATAGCTACTGTTACAAAACACTTACTCAACATCTTTAGAACTGTTTTTGTTTATGCTAATTTTACATTTAGAAGTTCTAGTCTCTGCAACAAGTTTTTTTTTGAAAAATTTGTGGATGTTCTTTTTATATTTCCAAAATAAATCAGCTAGCTAGATTGAAGAATATTTTTGCCCTTCATCATGAAATTACATAAGAGAATGATTTTCCCTTAACTTTCAAGTTTGCATCGAGGTTTTTTGGAAACACAAATTAGTTTTTACATGTTTTTCAGTTTATATTAATTTTAAAATTATACTTAAAACTGGTAGTTATACAACTTTGTATAAAATTTACTTCAGAAAAATATTTTAAAATTTTCTTTAAAACAAAGAACCTTTTCTTCTTTCCTCTATTCTCTCAAATAACTAAAGCAAGAAGGATATCTTCTTTCTGGTAGTATATGAGGATGGGTTTAGAGAGCAACTTGTTTCTTCAGAGCTCTCACTATGTGTCTCAGATATGTGCACTCCTCAATGGAGTGATTATGGCAGCTACTGAATGATCATGCTTGGAAAGATAGATGCCATAAAGTCACCTGGGGACAATCACCAGCTGACATCCTTTATGGCAGCAGAGGCACTCCTGTATTTCATGGAATGTTACTTGGAATCAACCAGGGAGCAGAGTGCAGTTTTCAGGTGCTGCTGTGGAAGTTTCTCACATTGTTTTGAATTAACATCTGGTTATCAGTGGTGAAAAGCCTGCCAGCTGGCATATGCTTCCTGCCTCTCTGTGCCTGTCAGTATTCTCACCTGAAGATTCTGCCA